TGATAAAGAATTCTTTTTGCTACTCGAATGCTGCTTCAAATTCTCTTTTCAATCGATAATTTATATAATATTATGATTTTATTTACTTAATAGCTGAACAAAAAAAAAAAAAAAATTGATGAATCTAATCAGATACATTTTCATACAAGTGCACATATCAAATACATTTTTTGTTAAAGGAAAAAATAAATGTCTTTTTTTTTTTGTTGTTTTGTTTTTAACAGTTAAAGATATATACAAACATGACCATAGAGAGAGAGAGAAGAAATGATTTATTTCCCAGTATTTATTTTAACTGTTGTAGCATTTTGAAATAAAGAAAAACTAAACAAAATAAAAATTTTTTATCAAAAAAACAAAAAAAATAGAAAAAAAAACTTACGAATCAAAATCAAGTTTTTGTTTTGATATTCCACTTAAAATAAATTCTTCACTAACAATAGGTATATCTTTTTTAAATAAATCTTCATATTGATTTTTATGTATTTGTGCAACAATACAAATAATATCTTTTCCTGGTTTATTTATATTTAATTTTTCAATTAATTTACCACCAGCAGCTTCAATTATATCTTTTAAATCATCATATGGTGGTGATGTATCTTTTGTACAAAAAAATTTATAATTTTTAAATATAAGACCTTGTTTAGCTAAACGAACACTTTCACGTAATTGAAAACCATAACGTGTTTCAGCATTTTTATCTTCTAAATAATATTTATCATATGGTATATAATGATTTTCTTTTATCATTGTTTCAATCCATTGTGGTGATAATATATGTGCACCACGTGCAAGACACATAAAAAATTTTTTTGTACGTCTTATACGATCAACAACAAGAGCATCAACTTGACATGATTCATCCATTATTTCAAAACCTAATTTACGTAATGTATCAATATAATTTTGATCAAAATTCTAAAGAATATATTTATTTAAATCAAGTATATATTGAGGTTTTTGTTTTTACCAAATGACTGCTTAGAGCAATACGAACAGGTCGATCAATAGTTGAATTTGTTTTTTCTGATAATTTTTCATTTGATATTGTTGATTTTCGACCACGTTTTGGTGTTGCATTAGTAGTAGTTGTTTGTTGTTGTTGTTGTTCACCTGCTGTACGTCTATTAGATTTCGTAACTGTTGGAGAGACTTCAACAATAGCAGGTTGTTGACGACGAGTGCGCATTGTCGGTACTGTTTGTGGTGTTGCTGGACGACTAAAATAAACAATTTTATATTCATATGACAATTCGCGATTGAAACGTTGAACTATTCAAACGGATTAAGTCGATGTAACCAGAATTTTTAGATCAATGGACAAACTTTTATTGTGTCGAAAAAAAAACCGATAGGCTAAATGAGCAAGGTTTTTATTGGTAGGCCAACAAAGTACTGATAGGGTTATATACACAAGGCTCTCGATTGTTTTTGAGAGTAGGGGGGGCTACAGTTTCTTTTTCTTTTGCCACACAGTCACTTATTTTTTTAGGAACTTTCCGATTTTTCATTAAAAGTGATGGCGGGAGGGGTGGCGCGACGAAGATACCCCTACCCCCCCCCCCCCCCCCGGCCAAGGAAAATCTTCGGAAAAATTGTCTCAAAACAAAAATTTTTCACCGCTAATATTATCCCTGATCAGTTGACTGCATTCATAAAATTATATTTCGCAGACTATATTACACATTTTTGCCAGACAGTATTAGAAATTTTCGCAAACACACTGCAAAAATTAGGAGGGGGGGCTAGCTCACCCCAGCCCCTCCCCACATCGAGAGCGTTGTATATACATACGACGTCATTAGGTTTAGAACCACGTTCTTCAATATCATTCTATCGACTTCCTCCTAATAAAATAAAGATTTCTAGAAGCAACTTGTGAAATTTTTCAAAACAGATGACCGAGGTTAGTTTCGCGAAGACCTTCGTATCCCTCCTCAGGGTCCACCTAAATTTTGAAAATTTCCTATGCTGCTCGCGCTGCC